TATGCCCTGGCTAAACCTGGAGATTATCTGGTGATATTCCTCCAGTGATATTCTTCAATTTTCAAACATTGCTTACAGTGCGATGAAAGTCTTCTTTTAAAAGTTGATTTTAGCAGGAAAACGTTCTGCTATTGTTTCGTTAGAAGGGATAAATTTGTTTGTTAATGAATTCGCGCTGGAAAGTCAACATCTGTTTCCGATGTGATCGTTTTGTTCCACGCACAGCAATAAAGAAAAAAGAGAAAGAGAGAATAAATGCATTCATTAGACTTAGAAATGTGCAGGTATATATGTTATTTGGCATCATCTGTTATCTGAAGTCCACAGCTTTCCTAATACTTCGCTCTTCGCAATCATTCGCTTCTCGGAACAAATAATGTCCATGGATAAATTTTCGAGAATAAATTCGCGCCAAACGGAGGCTAATGTTTGTTTCTATGAATTATCGAGAAAAAAAAAGTAATTTTTGGAAGAAGAGTAATCAGTGCACCTTTCCCTCGGCAACAGATGGATGTCGTCCATTCAGCCACCCCGGTGCATGCGTGCCACACATGTATTCATTTGGTGGTGACTCTGGCATCTTTGAGCCTGCGGCTCCGGTGAAGCGGTACCACGCTTCTTCTATTTCGTCGTCACATGCAAGGCCGCCCAAAGTGTAGGTATTCTTCCTGCTAGCCCCAGGGATTAGGAAGGCCGTGCGCCATGCGCGTATGGCGCATAAAGCTACGAAATGGCCCTTTATAAAAATACTTACCGGGCCTCTGATGCGCCCTAACCGCACAAAGTTAGTGAAATATAAACTATTTTGTGAAAAGGATTTTAATTTGTAAAAGTTTCACTTTGGTGAGACATAAACAAGCGAAAAACTACGGTGCCTTCGCTCGTTTGATCACGCTCGCTTCATTCTTGTTCCCAGATCCTGAACTCGGACTTTGCATGCAAACGAGGCTATTGCTTGGAGTTCCATGTACTTTCGTTTTCGAGCAGAGTTCGAGCGTTTTCGTCGCTTTGAATGTATTTGCAT